TAATAATAATAATAATAATAATAATAATAATAATAATAATAATAATAAGAAGAGGTTGCCAATTTGATTGCTTGGACATCCAGTAAGTGGATGTGCATTGTCTCTTGGAGTTCTAGGTAGGAGTGGGCATTGCTTGCCATGCTATGCGAACTACATCGTCCTGCTATGCGTCAAGTTAATCACATGATATAATAATAAATAAGTTGATTTTTATTTATAATTAGCAATTATTAATTTATCTTGACATAGTAATGATAGTAGGGATCCATTACCAGAATCTTCTTTAAGTAATTTTTTAAGTTAATTAAAATTTAAAGGTATATAAGTATATTTTTTTAAAGTTAAAAACTTTATCTATATGTTTGAATTGAAGGGAATGAACAAGAAAAAGAGAGGAGAAGGGAATTATATCCTTCTATTTTCCTCCATTCCCTTTCTCCTTTATCCTTTTATTTAGATAAATAAATAAATTTTAAAAAATATATAATAAAAGAAATTCTTCTCGTTCCCTCCCCTCAAAATCTTTTGACAACCAAATAAAGAAATTTTTTTCTTTCCCTTTTATTCCTCTCAACCCAAATAGTAAATCTAAAGTTATTTCATTCAATTTTTGATCTATCAATTTCACTTAAAATATTTTTATTGCAAATTGATTTTTTTTTTCTAGGAGTTAAATAATACTTCAAATTTGCAAATGAAAAAATAGTATGAAATAAATTTAGCAGGTATTTGTATAGTAATGGTAGAAGATTTTATTGCCCAAAACTTTTAACAGGTAGTTAATTATAGAAAAAATATCTTGACATGATATTGGTAAAGAAAAATCGTTGCCAAAAATTATTGGCAACCAAAAAAATCACTGGGCAAGATACCCTATCACAGCAGTGTCCACCTCAAATTCCAGGCCACCTTCCTCTTTGCGGGGGAAGTTTTCTAGGGATGGACTTCCTCCGCAAATGGATGTTTAATTTGTATTCATTACATTTTTTTTTTCACTTTTAGAATTATATATTAAACTTTATTACTTAATGAAGGTACTTGTATTGTATGAGTGAAAGTTGCCCCTATCAAAAATGTTTGTGCAATTTAGTTTTGGTCAAATTGCTGTAAACTAACCTTTAAATGAGGGTGAATTTATTAATATTAAGAGTTATTTCCTATTTGAAGATGGTAAAAAAATACTTTCCCTTAACCCACATAGTAAATTCAAAGTTATTTTATTTAATTTTTGACCTATCAATTTCACTTGAAACAATTTTATTGTAAGTTGAATTTGTTTTTGGAAGTTAAATAATACCTCAAATTTGCAAATGAAAACATATTAAGAAATGAATTTAGCAGGTATTTGTATAGTAATGGTAGAAGATTTAATTGCCAACAACTTTTAATAGATAATTAATTATATAAAAAAAAATCTTGATATGATATTGGTAAAGAAAATGTTGGTAAAAATTATTGGCAACCAAAGAAGTCACCGGGTAAGGTACCCTGTGCCACCGGTGCCCACCCTAATTTCTATAGGCCACCTTCGTCTTTGCGGGGAAGTTTTATAGGGATGGACTTCCTCC